AGAGACAACAGGAGGGAACCAACAGACAGACGGGGGAGCGCAGGCAGTCGATACTGGTCAGCAAAATGGACAGTGGTCTCACCCCCCCAGCTCCCCAGCCACTGTCAAGTGTTTTGTAAGCATCACTGCAGAGGAGAGTTTAGCTTCTGATACTGAGCAGCTGTTTCTACCCAGAGGGGACGGTGCGACCATCCTTGTCTCTAAGCAAACCTACCTTCCAGATCTGCTGCCTTCTAACATCCACACAGCAAATAGGTGTGGAGTTTCTTCGAACAGCGTTGAGTTCTTGTATCTGCATAGCTGAGGGCCTGTCGTGTGTCTATATCATGAGTCCCATCTTTGCTTTCTGCACCTCTCACTGACAATAACTCCCATTTACATGGCACCAGTTTCCCCAGCTTGTCAGGGATCTGATTTATTGTAAATGAAGTAAAGTAAGTAACAGAGAAAACAGAAATCAATCAGTCTCTTTGTGTTGGAACATTGCTTCTCCTGCCTCTCGATTGCATTGGGATGAACAGCACTCACAGAATCCCACTGGCGTGTCGAGCTCACAGTAAAGCACCATGACAGTTGCTAATAGGACACGAACTGTCCCAGATTGAGGTGTCATTAGAGGAGGTTTTGGAACAAACTGATAAACTAAACAGTAACAAATCACCAGCACCGGATGGGATTCACCCAAGAGTTCTGAAGGAACTCAAATGTGAAACTGTAGAATTGTTGTCTGTAACCTACATTTAAATCAGTTTCTGTACCAAATGACTGGAAGATAGCTAATGTGATGCCAACTTTTTTTTTTTTTTTTTTAAAAGGCTCCAGAAGTGATCCTGGCAATTACAGGCCGGTATGCCTGACTTCAGTACTGGGCAAACTAAAGAACAGAATTATCAGACACATAGATGAACATGATTTGCTGGGGAAGAGTCAACATGTACTTAGATTCTAAGAAAGCCTTTGACAAGGTCCCTCGCCAAAGGCTCTTAAGCAAGTAAACTGTCATGAGATAAGAAGGAAGGTCCTGTCATGATCGGTAACTGGTTAAAAGATAGAAAACAAAGGGGAGGAATAAATGGTCAGTTTTCAAAATGGAGAAAGGTAAATAATGATGTCCCCCAGGGGTCTGTACTGGGACCGTGCTGTTCAACATATTCCTAAATGATCTGGAAAAAGGGGTAAGCAGCGAGGTGGCAAAATTTGCAGATGATACAAAATTATGCAAGATAGTTAAGTACCAGGCAGACTGCGAAGAGCTACAAAGAGAGCTCACAAAACGGGGTGACTGGGCAACAAAATGGCAGATGAAATTCAATGGTGATAAATGCAAAGTACTGCACATTGGAAAACATATTCCTAACTATACATAGAAAATGAGGGGGTCTACATTAGCTGTTACCACTCAAGAAAGAGATCTTGGAGTCAGTGTGGATAGTTCTCTGAAAACATCCACTCAATGTGCAATGACAGTCGAAACAGCGAACAGAATGTTCGGAATGATTAGGAGAAGGATAGATAATAAGACACAAAATATCATATTGCCTCTCTTTAAATCCATGGTACGCCCACATCTTGAATACTGTGGTTCCCTCATCTCAAAAAAAGATATATTGGAATTGGAAAAGTTTCAGAAAAGGGCAACAAAAATGATTAGGGGTATGGAATGGCTTCCATATGGGGAGGGATTAATAAGACTGGGACTTTTCAGCTTGGAGCAGGGACGACTAGGGGTAGATATGATTGAGGTCTATAAAATCATGACTAGTGTGGAGAAATTAAATAAGGAAGTGTTATTTGTTTCTTCTCATAACACAAGAACTAGGGATCACCAAATGAAATTAATAGGCAGCAGGTTTAAAACAAACAAAAGGAAGTATTTCTACACACAATGAACAGTCAACCTGTGGAACTCCTTGCCAGAGGATGTTGTGAAGGCCAAGACTATAACAGGGTTCAAAAAAGAACTAGATAAGTTCCTGGGGGATAGGACTATCAATGGCTATTAGCCAGGATGGGCAGGGATGGTGTCCCTAGCCTCTGTTTGCCACAAGCTGGGAACGGGAGACAGGGGATGGACAACTTGATGATTCTCTGTTCTGTTCATTCCTTCTGAAGCACCTGGCATTGGCCGCTGTCAGAAGACAGGAGACTGGGCTACATGGACCATTGGTCTGACCCAGTCTGGCCGTTCTCGTGTACTTAGGAGCCAAGGCTGAAGTTTCAGAAGTGTCCGAGCAGGGTCAGTGAGAAGTAAATGAGAATCAGGGCTTGTGACGCTTTACTATGTTGCTAAGGGCTGGTGGACACACAAACACGGAGCTGCTTTCGCTCCATTGGTACAGCTCCTCTGGGTGGCTGCTGCTGCCTGGCCAGTTGTCCCAGCCCTGGTT